TCGGGTCTGGTGAGGACAGGACAGGGGCCTTCACCAGGGCACGTTTGAGGGCCTCAAACGCCCGCTGGTGCTCTTCGGTCCACTGAAAAACAGTGTCCTTCTTGAGAAGGTGGTTCAAAGGAGCTGCTATCCCCGCAAACCCTTTCACAAACCTATGATAGTAGGATGCCAGACCCAGGAAGCTCTTAACCTCTTTTTTTCCCCTTGGAACTGGCCACCCCCTCACAGCCTCCACTTTGTCTGGCATCGTGCTGATGCCCTCACCACCCAGCTGATGACCCAGGAACGCCACCTCCCTTTGCATGAAATGGCACTTTTCCGGGTGTAATTTTAGCCCCGCCCCCAAGATCCTCTCCAACACTCGCCTAAGTGCCCCCAGTGCCCCCTCAAACGATGTGCCGTGCACCAAAATGTCGTCTAGGTACACGACACACTTGTCTCTCGGAACCCCCGCCAGCACTCTGTCCATGAGCCTCTCAAAGGTGGCAGGAGCATTACAAAGCCCGAAGCACAGCACCTTGAACTGCCAATGGCCCCTATCTGTGGAGAAGGCAGTTTTTTTCACGTGCCCCAGGCGAGAGGGGCACCTGCCAGTAGCCACTGCGCAGATCAAGGGAAAGAGAACCACGAGGACCCTCTGACGTGGTCTAGCGACTCATCGATCCTCGGTATGGGGTAAGTTTTTCAGTTTTTTAAGGACCCCTTTAGGAATCCCAGAAAATATCTATGTTTTTCAGCCACACAGCCTCAACGGCGTCGATAACTTCCTCCTTCCCCCCGTCGGGCTGATGGGGTGAAGGAGGCCCAGTGTGTTTTGGGCTACTGGGCTGCCTGTGCTTGCACCAATTATGGGGAGTGAAGGGGTCGTGGCCGCCGGAGACAAGTGCTGGGATTTGCACAACGACCAAGGGAGCTGCCGGGACGACCAGTGGAGTTTCGGCAAGCTTGGAGGAAGACGGAGGGACAGCCCTGCCCCCTGCTGGGTACCTCTTCTGCTTACTGTGGGTTCGGGGGCGGGGGGGTGGGCCCGCGCTGCCCCCTGCGCGAAAACCCGCTGTCGTTTCCCTGGTGACGGGAGAATCTGCCAAACTCCCGCTGAATGTGGCCAGGCTGGCCCAACCCCAGCAGACAATGGGAGTTGAGCTGACACTGCGATGTTGTCTGGAGCCCCTCTCAATGACAAGCAAAGCGGTCTTGACTAACCCGCCCAACTCGTCGACCCACTCTGGTTTGGTGACCCCCGGCACCCCGGCCGCCGCTGCTCTCACCTCTGGTTGACTGGCAACCTCCACTCTCACTCCCTCACCCCAGATCAGCTCCCTGTTCCTGGCTATCTCCACTGCAGCCCGCAGAGATGCTGGGTCCGACATCTGAACATGCTTACCCAGTTCGGTGGGGGAGAGCGCTCTAATAAAACTGTCCCGTGCCAGCTCGTCTTGCACCCCAATCGGCATAGTTGCATAAGCCCGCCTGGTCAGGCTCAGAATACCACTTGCCAACGCCTTTAATGATTCCCCCTGAAGTCTCTTTTTGTTATCAGTTATTTGTTATCAGTTAAATCCGCAGCATGTTGGGCTGTGCATCGCTGCCGAAACGGCCCCCCAATGCCTCCACTAGCGCACCGTAGTCGCCCCTCTCGTCCGGGGCTAGCGTTAGCAGGCATTCCGACGCCTCCTCTGCCAGGCTCAGGGCAAGCTGTAACCCTTTCGTCTCGTCAGACCACCTCCCGGCTCTAGCCAACAACTCGAATTGAGTGAAAAAAACTTCCCATTTACCTTGTCCATTGAACTTTGGAAGTTTAGCCGCTACCATGGCTAATGGCAATAGGGCACTGCCATCTCTGTTTACATAAGGAGGCCCAGCCATTTCCGCACGCGGTGACGTCGATATCTCCGTCGCCGTGACGTCTGTTCTGGTCGAGCGGTGTGAAGGAAAACCCGCCCGTTCTGCCATCTTGCTGATTGACAATTTAACATCCACCATGTGGCTCTCCAGCTCTTCTACAGCCGTCGTCGCCTGACCCTCCCGACCGGGTACACCCGAGCCCACAACGGACACTTTGTCCGACTCTTCCTTAATTTTCCGCCTCGCCCCGATCATCATGACCGTAGATGCGAGTCACGCTAAAGTCAACCACTGCCTATGCTGAAACAGCTAACTCGCCTAATCTCGATCTATCCCGTCGTTCGAAAGCACTTCTGACACCAATGTAATGACCCAGCTGGGTCATGAAGTAAAAGAGAGACGGGCACCAGGTGTACAGGCAGAACACAGGTTTATTCCTGAATGGGCTATTGTTCAGGCCACAGCCCACGCTGCTAAACCTCGAACGTACACTAATATAACATGTCAAGTTAAGGGTCCCGAACAGAAGAGAGAGATATGAGACCGTAACCCCTATTTAAGCATTCCAAAACCCAGCGGGATTACCCATCATACCCCCCCAACCTTTCCATCTGTCCTGGCATATTTAACCCCTGGTAGCACCCATGAGAACGATAACACACCCACGAACACAGAACACAATACCGGGTCGTTACAGGACGCTACAGACGTTTTTGTGAGAAGACCGATTTTAGGGATGTCTCATGTTCTGACAAACACCGCTGTAGCTTAGCCTGATATCTGTAGTTTAAACTGATGGATTTTGATTGGGACTTTTTCATTAGGTTACTTAGATTGACACACAGATTTTAAAGTAGTCAACATTTTAGTATTTGGTCCCATATTACTAGTACACAATGATTACATCAAGCTTGATTGATAACATTTTCTGTTTGTTTTGGTTTCAGATTATTTTGTGCCCCAATGGAAAGGGCACAAAATGTCATTTTGGAATCACTTTTATTGTAAATAATAATAGAATATGTTTCTAAACAATACTACATTCATGTGGACGCTACAATGATTATGGATAGTCCTTAATGAATCGTGAATAATGATGAGTGAGGAAGTTACAGACCACAAATATCATACCCCCAAGTCATGCTAACCTCTCACCATAACAATAACAGGGGAGGTTTACACCACCACCACCAGCCTGTACCGTTGACACCAGGCAGGATGGGGCCATGGGCTCATGCTGCTTACACCAAATCCTGACTCTGCCATCAGCACGATGCAACAGGAACCCGGCTTCGTCGGACCAGGCAATGTTTTTCCACTCCTCAATTTTCCAGTGTTGGTGATCGTGTGCCCATTGGAACTGTTTCATCTTGTTTTTAGCTGATAGGAGTGGAACCCAGTGTTGTCGTCTGCTGCAGTAGCCCATCCGTGATAAGGACTAAGGAGTTGTGCAATCCGAGATGCCGTTCTGCACACCACTGTTGTACTTTTCCGTTATTCGCCTGTTTGTGGCCCGCCTGTTAGCTTGTACGATTCTTGCCATTCTCCTTCGACCTCTCATCAACGAGCTGTTTTCACCCACAGGACTGCTGCTGACTGGAGGTTTCTTGTTTGTCGCGCCATTCTCTGTAAACAACAACTCCTGTACCCTTGAGAGTTTACTTTTCATTTGATATGTACAGTATAACTTTATATTGTCTATTAACTGTTTTGTAGTCTTCCATCTGATAAGTTTAGTGGAGTAATAGCAGAAAACATTATCAACCAAAACAGAGAATCTCCACTAGAAAACAAAGTCAATATAGCAAGTTAATTAAACGATAAGGTCTGATCCATAACAACTTTCCCCTATAAGAAAACTATCCTGACATCAAGTCAACCAGGTTACAGTCTTACAGAGACCACCATCCAGCAGCTGTTACCATATTATTACATCAAGGGTGACCATGACAAATGAGACACTTAAATTAGCAGGAACTGAAAAGGAACTGAATTAACTCTGCTGGGAGATGTTGTGCCCAGTTTACTGCCACACAGTGGCACTGTTGTATAGCTGTATCCAGCCCTAAATCTAATTTTCTTTAAAAACATGTACAGTAATATCTGTAGCATGTACTGTACCCCTCATTTCAGCTCTCTACTGTAGAAAATAAGACATTTTACTGTAATAGGCCTACTGTAATTTACTTCCTTTATGATGGAGAGTTGTTTATTGGATGACCAAAAGTGAAACGACAACTAGAGATTAGTTTCCATATATGTAAATATATAAATTAAATTACAATTACATGAAAGTTTATCATAACAAATCCATGTAATAATCAAGATACTGTATGTATAACATAACCATGGCATATGTCACTACGCCACCCCAGGTTGAGTTTTGCCCATCACATATTATACACAGGTTCTTCAAGTTTGGGTTGAGTGGCAAAATAAAGAAGTCAACAACAGGTTGCAAGTTCAATTATTTATTTTTTATCCTCCATTAGTGAATACAAACTGAATTACTGAGACTCTCTCAGCCTGGTCAAAAAGGAGGTCATAACAGTACATAATTAATAAAACAAACAAACTAAACAACCAAAAATACAGGTTCTGGTGCAGTCGAGGGAAGATCTAACAAAACATTAATTCAACTTCCATTCAAGATAAATCAACAATATTCTCTCAAATTTAGTCAGATAGTTACAAACTAAACCAGCCACATGGCCACTTCCCTCTTAACAGCACCTTCCCCCGGGCGGCCACACCTCAAAGAAAAAAAAACTGTCAGCCAATGAAATTATAGGAGCAATCATTCATTTAGCAAGGTAGAAGCATGCACAAGCAATGGAGGCTCATCATCACACCTGAGACACATACATTACAAGTACAGTACAAGATATATACATATATTACCATAACTACCTATTAATTGGATACTTTACATATCTTAACATGTTTTCCAATGCAGCTTGGTTTATTCAACATTATGAAACGATATGTTCAACAGTGGAGTAGATAACAGAATGGTCAACCTCTAACCTTTATTCTGGCCTGCAAAAAGCAAATAGAGTTGTTGTATGAGTATATTCAAACATTTCAAATAAACAGACTTCCAGAAAGAGGTTATATGGAAAAGGACTGAACTGATAGTGAGTGCACTCCTACCTGGCAATAGGATTGGGGAGGGGGAACTGGATGCTGGCGTACTGGAGGTTGTCTGTCACGTTGGCCTGTCTGGCTTTCACCGTGGAGTATACAACATTATCCCCATGGAGTCCTGAGTGTGGGGCCCTGTCGATGGAGCTATGGAACTGCTCGAAGTCAAAGGTAGCGTAATGAGGGTCTGGAGGGTTCTGTGGAGGTGGTGGCTGGACCACAGAGTACAGAGAACTGTCTTGGTGGTGGGTGTGAGAGGGAGGGAGTTGAACGTTGGCATAGAGGGCATTTTCCTGTTCCTCCGTTCTAGTTTCCTGAATTGCTGGCTCGTTACTGGTCCTTCTACTGGATAAGACTGGGTTTTGATCATCCTGAAATATGGAATCAGTCAAAAACAATACAAAATGTTTGATATTTTGACTACTCACTGTAGCTTCATCCATTGGTTAAACTAAGTATCGTGTTACCGGGGAAGAATGGAAGCTTGCGCTTGAACGTTGTTCAAATACCATGAACCTCCAGATAACACTGTTGCACTGACATGCTATTGGTATTGTTAATTAGAGTGTATATGTGGTTTTACTGACCTCTTTGTCCACAGCAGTCTTTTGACATAATTTGAACGGGCTCTTCCTGTCAAAGAAAACACACTTCTTTGGGGGAACAAACAGGTACCACAAGGCCATCATACTCTGCATTATGATATTGAACTGAGTACACAATGTTGCTAGACTTACCACATCCATAGGAACACAAGAGGTATGATCACCATGAAAACTGTGGCCGCGGAACCAATGTAAACTAGCATTTGGACAGTATTTGTATCTGAAAATGACACAGGATACATGAATGCAATACATTCAAGTCAAGGGAATTCCCACTTGATATATATCGGTTCATGACAACAGGACATTTGCCTAGACAGGAGGACATAACATTTGCTTCCATACTGACCCTGCAGGATCAGAGACAGCACAGTAGAGTTGTGAGCCCCTTCTCTGTTCCTGGCCTCACAGAAGAACTGTCCACTGTCAGATGAGATTAGAGAGGTCAATCTCAATACTTCTCCTGACCCTGTCTGTGAGGTGTCTGCTCCATACTTCTTAAACCAGGTGTAGTTCTCCACTGCTGGGTTGGCGTGGCTGCTGCAGGTCAGATTCACAGAGCTTCCCTCTACCACTGGACCAGAGGGACTGACTGACACCAAGGTGTTCTTTGGGGCATCTAAAGCAAGCAAACATTATTTAAAAGGTCATATCTTCTGTATATTTAGTAATTATTAATCCAATCGGTTCTAGCCAACATGGTTGTGTTAATTTCATTTATATTTCACTGTAGATTAAAACCATTGCAGTATGTTGGAGATTACACTGTCTCTTGCTCAACAACATAACGTTTTAACAACCTGCTTCCCTATCAAGCAAGCACACACAACTTAGCACAAAAAACAGACATCCCCACAAGCAGACTTAACTTACACAGAACATTAAGGACCAGGACTGATGAGTTGAGGGCTCCATGTTTGTTCCATGCCTCACAGTAATACCTCCCTGAGTTAGCAGGAGAGACAGCCTCAAATAACAACTGAGTCCCTGACTGGACAGGGGTGCTACCATTGACTCTGTACCAGGTGTAGCTCACTGCTGGGTTAGCATGGCTGCTGCAGGTTAGATTCACAGAGCTGCCCTCTACCACTGGACCAGAGGGACTGACTGACACAGAGGTGTCCTCAGTAGGGTCTGAAAGTGACAACAAATTGTACACTGGGGAAGATAGTGTTCTTTCACAGACATTGTATCCAAATGTCTTACTGGCACCACTGTCTTGTTGGCCTATAGCTCATAAGTTCTGACAGTAGAAGCTGCTGAGGGGAGAACGACTCATAATAATGGCCGGAATGGAGTGAATGGAATGGTATCAAACACATGTGTTTGATACCATTCCATTCACTCCCTTCCAGCCATTGCACTCAATTCCAGCCATTATTATGAGCCGTCCTCCCTTCAGCAGCCTCCACTGAATTCTGATGGTCAATTAAACGACCAATACTCACACTGAACATCAAGGTTAGTTACATTAGATCTGACTGTGCTGATACTGTTTGTGGCATTACAGTAGAACCATCCACTGTCCCCTGGATGTGAGACAGCCACCATACACAACTAATCTTCTCCTTTCCCCCTTCTGATAACCAGGTGGCGAATCGCATCTCTGCATGTCTGGCAGACATATCAGTATGGATGACGGATCACCACCTCAAGCTGAACCTCGGCAAGACGGAGCTGCTCTTCCTCCCGGGGAAGGACTGCCCGTTCCATGATCTCGCCATCACGGTTGACAACTCCGTTGTGTCCTCCTCCCAGAGTGCGAAGAGCCTTGGCGTGACCCTGGACAACACCCTGTCGTTCTCCGCTAACATGAAGGCGGTGACCCGATCCTGTAGGTTCATGCTCTACAACATTCGGAGAGTACGACCCTGCCTTACACAGGAAGCGGCACATGTCCTAATCCAGGCACTTGTCATCTCCCGTCTGGATTACTGCAACTCGCTGTTGGCTGGGCTCCCTGCCTGTGCCATTAAACCCCTACAACTCATCCAGAATGCCGCAGCCCGTCTGGTGTTCAACCTTCCCAAGTTCTCTCACGTCACCCCGCTCCTCCGCACACTCCACTGACTTCCAGTTGAAGCTCGCATCTGCTACAAGACCATGGTGCTTGCCTACGGAGCTGTGAGGGGAACGGCACCTCCGTACCTTCAGGCTCTGATCAGTCCCTACACCCAAACGAGGGCACTGCGTTCATCCACCTCTGGCTCCCCTACCTCTGCGGAAGCATAGTTCCCGCTCAGCCCAGTCAAAACTGTTCGCTGCTCTGGCACCCCAATGGTGGAACAAGCTCCCTCACGATGCCAGGACAGCGGAGTCACTCACCACCTTCCGGAGACATTTGAAACCCCACCTCTTTAAGGAATACCTGGGATAGGATAAAGTAATCCTTCTACCCCCCCCCCCCCCCCCCCCCCCCCTTTACTCCACCCCCCCAAAAAATAAAAAATACAAATAAAAAAAACATTGTAAAGTGGTTATCCCACTGGCTATAAGGTGAATGCACCTATTTGTAAGTCGCTCTGGATAAGAGCGTCTGCTAAATGACGTAAATGTAAATGTAAATGTAATGCCACAACGGTAGAGCCCTGCCCACTCTCCTCATACAGGATGTAGCTCAACACAGGGGGGTTTGCACTGCAGCTGCAGGTGAGAGTGACTGAGATACCCTTAACAACATCTCCAGATGGACTGACAGACAATATGACATTCTTTGGAGCATCTGTAGGAGAGGAAGTAATGTTGAGCATTTCTCTATAGAACAACATTACTATAGTACCTCTCACCACACATTATGTTGCCTGTATATTTCAGAACATTATAACACTGAACGTTCATCCTCATGAGTGGTTCCAGTATATCTAATGGGTCAGAATATTTTCATTGCATTCCATTAGTAGCCTATAGTTCACTGTGTTATTTTCTCTCACCATACCCTGTCATCATGAACGCCATCCTCAAACTTTGCTTAACTTCCCCTACAAGTAACCACAATGTAAACACACACAGGCACACTCAGAAAATAGACACTGCCGTTATCATTCAGAGCAAACTGACAAAGGCTGATATGTGAGAGCACTACTTCATCAATATCCTTCTTTCAAAATCACTCCTATTATTTTACCAGAAATTCATAACAGACCTTGCATTTAACTTTCTTTGCAACATAATGCAATGAAATGAACACATTTCAGAATCAGCACATCCTTGGTGCAGAGCTTTGAACGTAGATAGCTGCTCGAATACACATAACATGATCTGCTCACATTAATTAGGTCAGGTATTTACTTGCATTGTATATCAAGAGACACTGGATCAGAGGAGAGACCTTGAACAGTACATTGGTAGCTGCCAGCATCCTGAATGCTGGCCAGGAACTTGGTGTTGGGTACTGAGTGTCCATCCCTGAACCAGGCAATAGTGGGATGGTCACTCAGTGTACAGGTTGTGGCACATGTTAGTGTCACCTTCTCTCCCTCTCTCACAGTGGCAGGGTTGACTACAGCTGTCAGCCCTGGTAGAGAGGAGCAAGAAACAGGCAGGATGTCACTGAAACAGCTTATGTAGCCTATTCATGATAATGAATATTATAACAATTTGACTAATTTCAACATTACCTGTTACTGACAACACAACTCCTTTTGGATCCGACCATTTATCATGGTCTGTCAGAAATCTGAAGTGGTATTTTTTTGCATCACTCGGTCTTAAGTTACTTATTCTCAATGTGCAGTTGTGCATATTGTTGCCAAGGTATTCTACACACCCACTATATGCCTGGTTCTGAAAGAGGTCCGTCCATGTGTTGTTCTCCATACCGAACCAGATGGTTTTCGTGACAGTGTCTCTTGAGGGGTAATCATAGCTACATCCAAACACCACTGATGACCCTCTCAAGGCACATGGAGACACGTTGTCAGAAGTCACCCCATAAGGACCTCCACTAACACCTTTAAAAAGATCAAACATACACAAAACAAACAAAAAAAACATAAACAACGCAAAAACAGTTCATATTAATATTATCACACTTATCTAGTCATGCAAATACATACAGTGCCAATTTACAGTAAGGAAAATATAACATTCCTATGTGTGGCCCACGTATATTCAGATATGTTAATTAAATAGATAATACTGTACACATGCTGGTGCAATAACAGACTATAAGTACTTCTGTATTTTTGTGAATTAATAGAGTGAGTTACTCTGTAATCTCAGATAAGATAAAGTCATTCTCTTTGAGGTTAATCGTTTGATAAAAATACATCTCACCATCAAGGCAACACAACAATTACATTAGAAGAACAATATAAAATATCCCCTCTGACCTCTGCAGTAGTTTCCTGTTCATCTCTTATGAGCCATACGCAGTACTAGTACATAGTTCGCATCTCAATAATTGATCATCAATCAGTACCAACATCCACAGCATGATAAAGCATCAAACAATATATTATATCTACTCACCTGGCTACTCTGGGGAGCTTTTTGGTGTTTTTTTCCTTCCTGTTATCATACACTTGATATGTAATAGTGTATTTAAGGGGGTTACAGTAACATAGCAAGATAACTTAAACCTCTATAAGAGAGGAGATTAAATGTGTGACTTAGAGCCATACAGGTGAATTTGGCCATCATGAAGTATAGAATTGTGGCTAAATGATAAACAACACTGAGAATACGTCTTATACTATTAACTAGAGAAAGGCCCATTACACTGCATGTTGAAACCAACGCAACCTCCAGAATTACGATCACCCATTTTGAACTTCTAAACAACCAAAGTGTGTGTGAATAAAAAGATGTTAACAATGCTGAGAAATGTTCTTCAAAGTCAACAGCATCCCAACAGAACACATTAGTGAGTGATGTGATGTCATCTCTATGTTAGTTTCAGCACTACTGGTAACATCCTTGGGCTCTTTGTCACCATCAAGTGATATATTTGTATATCTTGAACTTGATCCAGAGTAAGAAGGAACATTCGACATAAAGGTAAACTCAGCATGACATCATACACATCAGGGCAACTTCCTGCTTCTACACATCAACAACAACCATGATTCCTCTGTCCCCCATACATACAACATATGTAAGGTCCCTCAGCCAAGTATTGAATTTCAAGCACAGGTTCAACTACAAAGACCAGGAAGCTTTTCGAAATCCTAATAAAGAAGGGCAGTGATTGGTAGATTGGTAACAATAACAAATCAGACATTTAATATATATTTAAGCATGGTCAAATTAATAATTATGCTGTGGATGATGTATTAAACCACCCAGACACATCAAAGATGCAGTCATCCTTCTGAACTGAGCTGCAGGACAGGCAGGGAACTGCTTAGGGATGTCACCATGAGGTCATTGGTGATTTTAAAACAGCTACAGAGTTCAATGGCTGTGATGGGAGAAAACTGAGGAAGTGATCAAGAACATTATAGTGACTCCACAGTAACTACCTAAATGACAGAGTGAAAAGAAGAATACAAATACACAGAATAAAAAATATTCTAAAACATGCATCTTGTACACAACAAGGCACTAAAGTAATACTGCAACAAAAACAAGGCAAAGGAATAAACTTATTGGCCTAAATGCAAAGCCTTATGTTTGTGGCAAATCCAGCACAACACATCACTGAGTAACTGCCTCCTTATTTTCAAGCATGGTGTTGGCTGCAGTATGGTATGGGTATACTTGACATCAGCAAAGACTGGGGAGTTTTTCAGGATGAAAAGAAACCTGCTTCAGTCTGCTTTACACCAGACACTGGGAGAGGAATTCACCTTTCAGGAGGACAATAACCTATGACACAAAGCCAAATCTACACTGGAGTTGCTTACCAAGAAGACAGTGAATGTTCCTCAGTTTCTAACTTACAGTTTTGACTTAAATCTGCTTGAAAATGTATGGAAAGTCTTGAAAATTGCTGTCTAGGCATGATCCCCAACACCTTGACAGAGCTTGAAGAGTTGTGAAAAGAAAAATGGGAAAATATTGCACAATACAGGTGTGCAAAGCTCTTATGAGACTTTCCCAAGAAGACTCACAGCTCCAATCGATGCCAAAGGTGTTTCTAACATGTATTGACTCAGGGGGTTGAATAACTATCTAATCAAGATATATTAGTGTTTAATTTTTCATGAATCTTTAAAAAGGTTACAATTTCTCTTCCACTTTGACATTACAGAGTATTATGTGTAGATAATTGACAAAAAAATGTCAATTCAATCAATTTTAATACCACTTTGTAACACAATAAAATGTGAAGAAATCCAAGGTGTGTGTAGACTTTCTATAGGCACTGTAAATCTTCCAAGATTGTTCCCAATTGGAGCCAAAAGAGGCAATGTCCGTAGATTTTAATTTGGTTGTTGTTGATGTATACCGTCACTGTAACAACATCTGTGCCAACATATAAAATAAAATCAAAGTTTATACATCCCATAAACCACAGTGTTTATATGATGTTGAGCATATCTCTATAGAACAACACTAATATAGTACCTCTCACCACACATTATGTTGACTGTATATTCCACAACATCATAACTTTCCTCCCTATTAGTAGTTCTGGTAAATCTAATGGGTTAGACTATTTCCATTGGTGTTCTCAGAACATTTCTGAATTCAGTTAGTTGCCTACAGTTCACTGTAATTTCCTCTAACCATATACCCTGTCATCATGAACACACTCCTCAAACTTTGCTTAACTTCCCCTAAAAGTTACCAAAATGCAAACAAACAACCACAGTCAGGAAATAGACATTGCCGTTTGTCATGGCAAATTCAAATTTGTTATCAAGCACATTGACATTCACAACAAATGGACAAGGGCTGTTATACGTGAGAACACTATGTTATCTACAAACTTCTTTCAAAATCCTATTACCTTTTCAAAAAATTATAACAAACCTTTTCTTTACCTTTCTTTGGAATATAATCCAATTCAATTAACACATTTCAGAAGCAGCACATCCTTGGTGCTGAGCTTTGAACCTAGATAGCTGCTCCAATATGAGTCAAATAATATGATGTGCTCATGTTTCTTGGATCAGGTATTTACTCACATTGGACATCAAGAGACATTGGAGCAGAGGAGAGATTATCTTGACCTTGAACAGTACATTGGTATCTACCAGAATACTCAATGCTGGCCAGGAACTCTGTGTTGGGTACTGAGTGCCCAGTTTACTGCCACACAGTGGAACTGATGTGTAGCTGTAACCAGCCCTAAATCTCATTTTCTTTAAAAACATGTACAGTAATATCTGTAGCATGTACTGTACACCTCATTTCAGCTCTCTACTGTAGAAAATAATACATTTTACTGTAATAGGCCTACTGTAATTTACTTCCTTTATGATGGAGAGTTGTTTATTGGATGACCAAAAGTGAAACGACAACTAGAGATTAGTTTCCATATATGTAAATATATAAATTGAATTACAATTACATAAAGGTTTATCATAACAAATCCATGTAATAATCAAGATACTGTATGTATAACATAACCATGGCATATGTCACTACGCCACCCCAGGTTGAGTTTTGCCCATCACATATTATACACAGGTTCTTCAAGTTTGGGTTGAGTGTCAAAATAAAGTCAACAACAGGTTGCAAGTTCAAAAAATGTTTTTATCCTCCACTAGTGAATACAAACTGAATTACTGAGACTCTCTCAGCCTGGTCAAAAAGGAGGTCATAACAGTGCATAATCAATAAAACAAACAAACTAAACAACAAAAAATACAGGTTCTGGTGCAGTCCGAGGGTAAGTATCTAACCAGACACATTAATTCAACTTCCATTCAAGATTAAATCAACAATATTTCCTCTGCAACATTTAGTCAGTAGTTACAAAAACTAAACCAGTCCACACTGTGCCACTTCCCATCTTACCAGCACCTTCCCCCGGCGCCACACCGTCAAACAAAAAAGAAACAGTCAACAAATGAAATTACAGGAGCAATCATTTAATTAGAAAGATAGAAACATGCACAAGCAACGGAAACTCATCGTCACACTGAACACAACATTACAAGACACGTACAAGACATATACATCTATTACATAACTTATTATGCATACTTTACTATCTTACTGCTCCATTATTCACATATAAAGATACTTCATTGGCAATTGCAGAATGTCCACCTTAACTTTCAACTTAATGGCTTAGCGTATATTCCAAACATTTCTAAAAAATGCACTTCAAGAAAGAGGTTATGGAAAAGGATAATGATAGTGAGTTCGCACTCCCCGGCATAGGATTGGGGGGGGAACTGGATTGCGACTGGAGGTTCTGTCACGTTGCCGTCGGCTTTCAAGTATTGGTTGCGAAGTACCCCCTGATTTCCATTTTGTTAAACCTGATTAAAATAATTTGGGGGGGTTGTATCATTGGTTACAAAATGCTCACTTTGAAGATTAAATATTTTTGTGAAACAAACAAGAAATAAGACAAAAAAATAAAAAAAACCTGAGTGTGAAGAACTATTCACCCCCCCCCAAAGTCAATACCTTGTAGAGCCACCTTTTGCAGCAATTACAGCTGCAAGTCTCTTGGGGTATGTCTCTATAAGCTTGGCACATCTAGCCACTGGGATCTTTGCCCATTCTTCAAGGCAAAACTGCTCCAGCTCCTTCAAGTTGGATGTGTTCTGCTGGTGTACAGCAATCTTTAAGTCATACCACAGATTCTCAATTGGATTGAGGTCTGGGCTTTAACTAGGCCATTCCAAGACATTTAAATGTTTCCCCTTAAACCACTCGAGTGTTGCTTTAGCAGTATGCTTAGGGTCATTGTCCTGCATTCCAGGTGAAAATGGTTGAGAGAATGCCAAGATTGTGCAAAGCTGTCAACAAGGCAAAGGGTGGCTATTTGAACAATCTCAGATATAAAATATATTTTGATTTGTTTAACACTTTTTGGGTTACTACAGGATTCCATGTGTTATTTC